AAGATAGCATTCATGTTAGCCACCTGACACCCACTTATATTTTAATGACATACTTATCAAGGTAACAATTCCTTCTTCACCAGTTCAGTCCAGAAAATCTATTGCTATTTAGTGTTATCTACTCAGGGTCAGTGTCCTGTTGTAGGAATTATCAGATGGAAGAACAAAGCTGCCCTTATTCTATCAGTGCCAACACACTGAACTAATGTAGTGGAACAGTCTGATAATGAGTTAAGTCAGGGCAGTCCAACTTTTAAGTGGGTGGGAATGCACGCCCTGTGGGCCACACCAGGGTGAGCCATGAGCTTCCACACAGTGCACAGACATACCCCCTCCCCCACTGAACCATGCACCTACCTGCCACCCTGCCCTGCTGCAGTGCACATCTGTATGGCCCCAGGCTCACCTTCAGTTTCCCTAGTCATCAGCACTGCACCACCCTAGAGAAGCCTGGAGACTCTGGCTGCTGTTGCAGCTGGAACAATGCGGGGGAGCGGTGGCTGGGCAGGAGTCCAGGGGATGTAATTTAACCCTTCATGGGCTGCCAGTTGGACAGACCCAAGTTAAATTATGGACCAGGCCATGCCTGGTGTAAATCAATGTGCCTGCATCAACTTCACTGAGGCTCTGCAGAAGAGACTGCCACGGTTTTAAGGTTCATTTTATATTCATCCTTCACTTATAAAATAATACTACAGTAAGTAGGAAAGAGGAAGAGAATTCATACCACAAAAGGTGCACCTGAAAAGATTTCTCAAACTATATTTTATTTGGTTTTTAATTTGTCAGTTCCAGTGCCCTGATAACAACAGAAATCCACAGAAAAGTAAAAATACCATTGGGATGATGATATTTGTTTGATATTAAATCAACCAAAAATGGAAGTTTCATATTAGTCCCAAACTGCCAATCAGCTTATGTCAAATGAAGCATGAGGACTGATAACTCTTGTAGCTTCCTTAAACTCACACATGCTAATAGATTCTGCCCAATATATTTTTAACTAGTTCTTTTCATCCTTGCTGGAAAAGTAAATAAAAGAGGGTACAATATTAAAGGTGGTTATTTTATATGGTTATCCCATGTGATAATGGAAAAGTCTAACTGCACATAGCTTTCTTATAAGGCAATTGCTGCTGCAGGTTTTGAAGGTACTGATAACAGAAACAATTTTGACAAAGAAACAAAAAAGAAAGACAAGGAGGCAAATATCTAAAGGGAAAGCCTACCTCCTCCCCATATAGGATTTCTATTTTTCATTATGAAATTCAAGAATAAAACATCTCCAACTTTACAGAATTTAATTTTTCCCAAGGTTTACATGAGCAATGAAAAAAAAACAACCCTGCTTCTTAGCAATCAACAGCAGAGTGTTGAAACTTTCAAAATGGGGGTTGGAAAAAAAAATCCCTATAACAGAAGATGTGTCTAGGATTGCCATGATGCCCCCATAACGGCCGTCTCAATCCTGCCTCTCCCTTGCCTTTGCTACCCAGGGTCTAACCCTGCTTTCTTACCTGCCATGTCTTCATGCTGGAAAATGATGAATGGAGGCTGCTCTCAGAGACAGGTGAGCCTAGGTTTTCTCTCTTTCTCCTTGTCTCAGTCTCTTGTTCCCTCCAGTCCTACGTGCCTTAAGGACTAAATGTGTGGCCTCCTTCCACCCCTACAGCCATGCCCAAGCCTTGCAGATGTTACTCTGTACACTGTTCTGTCCCCTGTAGAAGCCTCAGCCCTCTTATCTTTAACCTCATTTTCCTCTGGCCACTGACCTCCAGCCCTGGCCCACCGATTTGGGGTCAGCTCTCTCAGTCTCAGCCCTATCAGTTCTCTGTGCCTCTGGGCCCCTGGTCCCTGTGTCCGTCTCTCACTTCGGGACCCTGCCCCCTGTTGCCTGCATCTCTCACTCTGCACCCCTGGCCCTCACTGTCTCTGGTGCTTAGCCCTCTGGCCCTTGATCCCAGGCCAGGCTGCTTGCCTCTCCAGCCCTTAGCCCTCTACTTAAGCTAGATTTAAGCTACATTTAAGACTCTAGAGCTAGGTACAGACATTCAAAAAGCCTGAGCTGGAAATGATCTAAATAATGCTGTTTTCTATAAGCAGTGTAGTTTAGATTGATAGCAAACAGAACACACGTTCGCCATTTGGTGGGGGGAGCAAATCTTAGAGCAGGTTCTGTCATTCTTAAACCAGTTTGTGTGTGCCAAATTTCTGTTCTGTTATAGGTACAGACAAGTTTTATGTGTTCTCCTTCTCCTTCTCTTCTTTAGATTGGTTTCCAATCACTTACATCAGTAAAAGTGTAATGTCTATACCTGGCCTAAAAGGGAGGTGTGGATTAGGCAATGGAAACATTGTAAGTTCCTCTTGCCCCACCTCCCAGACCCAATCTGCCCCCAAAAACTTTTGGTGCACTTTTATACAGACAGCTCCTTCAAAACTGAGCTCATCAACAATGCTCTGAGTGTGTACCCACTGTATACAGGAACAATCGTTTGAAGCAGCTTCACTACCAGAAGATGCCCTGACCTGCAAGCTGAATCTTCCCATTTGTACACACACACAGAAATCTACAGGCACAGAAGGCATGTGTGCACTTTTATCGGTCCAGTTCTTTTGTGTGTTATGTGCTTTTGACAGTTGTTCTTTAACATTTTTCATTTTAAAGGCAACGAGGAGGAAAAGGGCATTCTGGGGTCTCTATAAAATACCCTAGGCATGATTTTAAAAAATAAACAAATAAAAAAAACACACCCTTCACCAAAAATATTTGCAAGCAATTGCTGACAATTCTAATAAAGATAGAGAGGTAATGAAATACATAAGCTTAGTGCTGGGGTAGATCCATTGGCAGTCATGCACTTCCTTTGATTCCCGTTCCACCCAAAATTTAAAGCCAGCTGCCTGGCAGCAGCAGCAATGGCAGCAGCAGAATTTCTTTTCAGGAAATGCTGAGGTCATAAATTGATTTCATGGATCATTAGAATTTATCTGATTCCTGCTAATCTCTCTTCACTCCACAACCCTCTCTCCTTTTTAATGGTTTTGATGTTCTGAAGCAGAATGCATTGCATTCAAAAGCTTGTCTAAGTCTATGCCAACTATGTAGTTTGTCCAGTAAAGGACAGACCAACAAAAATCTTTGCTTCTCCCATGTTTCTAGACCACCACAGCTACAGCACCACTCCAACGCTACCCTTTCTTCTGCAATTTTCCTGTCTGTAGTTACTCCTCTTCTTATTTCACAGCCCTGCAGACTGTTTCTAGTTCTAGCTAAAAACATTAACTCAAAGTGCGGAAACTTTAATTCAGATTAAAATTAACCAAGTGTGGAAATAACTGTCAAAGAAATGTTAAATTCACTGTCAAGATGCTGAAGAAGGCTAGATTTTGTTTTATGAACATCAATAAGACATGTATATTTAATTATGGAGACTACATAATATATAGCGTAGAAAATTAATGCACATTCCAATAAAGTTATATTTGTTTTTGCTTTGATCTCAACCTGAATAATACAGCCCTAGGCAACTAGTATATTAGTAAAGGTTCTAGTTTCTTTTAACCAGAGAAAAATGTGTGTTGTGTTATATGTGATTATATACCACATCATTTGCACCCCCTTTTTCAAAATCCTAGATCTGCCCATGGCTGGGTGATATGAAAGAGTGAGAACAAGATCCGATTTGTCACAACCCAAGGGTGTGATTTTGTTTGTGTGCGCTTTGGCACTGCTAAATTATTTCCCGCCACTCGGAGCTTTCTTTGCTGAGCAGTTTCCGCCCCAGTTGGAGAACTCCGAGGAGAACCCTGCAAGGGAGGACTCCACAACCATCTGGAGGAGGAGAACTTCACGTCTCGTGAAGATCTCTAAGCGCTGAGGAGCCTATCGAACCCAGCGCAGGCTATAGGGGTCTGATCAACCTCTGGCCTCTCCCCGTCACCGAACGATCCCTCGATGAACCCCTTCCCTGCACGCAAGTTCCACGGAGCCTAGCAAACTTCGTGTGAGTGTATCCAGAGCTCTCTGCTTCGAGTTGTTTTCTTCGGTTGACACGACGGGCTCACGTGTTTAGAGCCTTCAACCGGATTGGGCTAGAGGTTCGCGTGGAAGGAACTCTTGTCTGCCTCTCTTCTTTTCTGTCTGTAACCGCAACCCAAGCAAGTCTTCCTGCCTGCACCGCAACCATCTTCGGTGTAAGTAAAATAATCTTTAATCAACCGCTAAGCGTCCGTGCCTAATTCTAGTCCGCCGGCCTGCATTCCCCGACCCGGCGTGTCCGGGCTGCTGGCCACAGCCCACCGCGCACCCCCGAGGGCCTTGGACCACTCCCGGCCCTCACACTATTTACTTTTGAAAAATATCTCAGCCCATGTATATACATCCTAAAGGAATATTTGTGGAGTATGAACATAACTTCTATAAATTTAATGTTTAAAATACACCTATTTGCATTGTAGTTCAATGGTCCACAGGTATCATGTCCACAGTCTATGTTAACATTTCTGTTTTCCATTATTTCCCATTTCTAAGTGGGTGTCTTAAAACAGTGACTATTATGTGGCATAATATGAATGCCCAGCTGAGCTTCTCTTAAGTCAAAATAGGACCCTTGAAAGTACTGCATAACAAATATGTTTCATTAATGCTTTTATTGCTGGATCCTGGAGTAAGATTTTCTTAAGTGTCTATGTGTTCATGATAAATGAGACTGTGCCAGAACTGTTTTGTACCCTACAAATCTGATATCAAAATAAAATAAATGTGGCGCAAGTTCAGTCATCTCTCTTCCCCTTATATCAAACTGAGGAAGAGGCAAAAAATGGCAGCTACCATTTTGTCTAGAAATGCATAAGCTGGTTTGTTCCATTTCTACTTGGTTATTAATTGGGGTACTTTTAAAATACAACTCTTTGTGGTATTTAGCTTTCCAGTGCAAGTAATTCTGACATCTTAAAAACAGGCATTTCACTTGATTCTCACATTCATGTCTTCTTACCTGATAACATATTATCTGTTTTTATTGAAGGAAACTTCAAAGTCATTTCATGTTTGTGCCTGTGAATCATCAGATGATCCTCTGTTGGAAAGCGCTGTCAGGCAAACATAGAGAAGGGAAGAAAAAAGCATTTAGTTCTCTAATAAACTTTTGGCAATAGATAGAATTTAAAAAAAGAACCAACCATCCAAATAACACAGAAACAGCCAAAAAGAGAAACTACTTAGCCCACTGAATAGCGGTTGGGCTGTCTTGATCTGTGGCCTTTTCCCCCAAATAAATGCCTTTATTGAAGAGGAGAGCCACCATATGGTTTGCTGTTTTGGACTTCAGAATGCACTCCTTTCCCTTTTGAAAAAGGTTATGTCCCTCTCTCAGGAGCTGAACTGGAAGAAAGCACCCTGACACAGGTCTTGGGGGCATCAGGGACCGAAAGGCTGGGGTCTCAGATTCATAAGGATTTTGGACTCACCCTACTCTAGGGTGAGGGACAGAAATTACACATAAACTGGTATAAGTGATCAGAAACTGGTTCAAGTCTGTAACACAACAGAAGTTCAGTGCACATAAACCACTTTCAAAATGGCCAAGATTTAAGATGAACCTGGATGGATGTAGTAGACTTAACTGATTTAGGTTAAATCGGTTTATTGAACTTTTCTGCCCCAGATTGCCTCAAGATTCAAGTTAACTCACAGTCCCCCAGCATCCCAGGATGCTTTGCATCTCCCTGGGGAAATGCATGACATGCTCTATTACAACTGCATCTGCCTGTCATGACACAAGTGAGCTAAAATGACTTAACTTTGAAGCAGATTTAAAGATAAAGCAGTTTTGCTGCAATGCCGAATTGTGCAGTTGCACAGTAACAACTTGTGTCAGTATTCTTTGATATCAACAAAATTGTTACAGTTGTGTCTCCTCTAAAAGAGCAGATAGGCAGGCACTACTATTCACTACACATTATTGCAATTCTTTGTTTAATAGGGTCATTTACAGAGTATCAAGGAAAGCTAGGATATGTCCATATGATTTTGTAAAGAGCACCATTTTAAGGTGGGAGATCTCTTGCAGAAAAACAGAAAACTGCTAGTAAAATGAAAATGACTTGGTGCTTCCAAGATGGTATTTCTCATACATATTAAGTGACTGTGCTAGTGGCTATAGCAAAATAGCTATAGTATGTTATACTCTCTATGACTATCTAGTTACATAGGCACAGCAGAGTAAATAATGTAGAAAAATTGTCAAAAGAAAAAACTCCCAAAGACCTTTCCTAACTGCGAAATCCTGATTCAGTGTTTACTCATCTGGAAGAAATGCAAGCACTAGAAATTGACAATGGGAATAAATGGAATGTGGGAAAACTCTCCATGCTAATGTTGTTAGAAGAAACACAATGTAGAAATGAAATTTCATTCATGGAATGCTGTGCTTCTGTCTTCTGTGTGAAAATCAGCAGGTTCTAAAGAATGCCTGCTGGGATTGGGGGAAAAGCCACTCCTTCAATCCAGTCTCTTATGCCTTTGCTAAATGTGCCTCATTTCTGGTACATAAGATCAGCTAACTCATTCTTCAAATGTACAAACTGGTTGATGAAGGAGTCACCAAAGCCCTTAGCTAGTCTGCCGTGCTACAGCTGCCACACTATGCATTTCTGTCAATTGTTTTCTGGAGGTAGGGACTCTGGACTCTAGGGAAGGTATAACTTTCTATGTTCAGATTTAAAATTACAAATCCTGATTCAAGGGCTGACCCAAAAATCCATTACATTCAATAGAAAGTCTTTTATTGATTTATCTGGTAGACCAACCAGGCCATCAGTTACCTGCCAACATCTGAAATCAGATTTTCTACATTTCTATTCCAAGTCTTGATAAAAACATCTTTAAAAACTTAAATAATTATAGAATAGCCTGCATTTCCATCAGAGAAGCCCACAGGATTCTAAAGATACAATGACTGAAGACTTTCAAAGAGGTACACACAAATTTTCTTCAATCACAGAGATGCCTGGGGAGATTAAGTCATGTAAACAAGGTTAAATAGCAGACTTGTGTCCAAACTGGAAAAGAAGATCATTTCTAGTGAATCCTTGTTGTGTATTCTCATTACTGAGATAAACTAGCATAAACAATACAATGGATGGAGGTGTCTGCATTGTTGTAGGGATCAGTGATGCCATTGATTATCAGTCATACAGAATATTGAAATTTAAATGTAGAAGGTAAACTGACAATTAGTTAATTTTTTTTAAAGAAAAGACTGAACTTCTAATATTATAGACTAGATTGAACCCCTAGATATATGTAGCAAGATGCAACATGCATATTCTGGGTCCAAATTTGGCAATACAGTTCAGTTAAAATGGAGGGTACATAATGGAAAGATATCTTATAATATGAAGTATTAAGTATTAATATGTTAATTAAAAAATCAGGTTAGCATCTGCTACATGAAATAAAACCTAGCAGTTTTTACAAAAGGGTAAGAAAGAAAGTGAAATACTAGAAGAGCTGTATCCCTTCTGAACCAGTGGATTCTTATTCCTATGTTCTCCATCACTTTTAAATTGGAGGAAAGTTCAGTCTAGTTTAAAATAAATGGATCAGGCTGGGGGACATAAAGTGAAGCAGGGGATAGTTAGCCACTAGCTTCTAAATACCTGCCTATTTTAATTATTCAATAACAACATATTGGACAAAGGAGAAAGAGAAAAAGGAGGAGGAGGAAGAGGAGGAGGGGGCGGGGTTGGAAACCACTGTATTAACACATGTCTGATGATCATAGTGATTATGATGATGCATTATACAAGCCCATGCTTGTGCTGTGGTCTTAATTAATATTGTCACTGACTTCACTCACCTGTGAGCAGCCTGGGGCACTGCAGACAAAGGGCCTCTCCTGCTCCAAGTTCATCTTCGATTCCTCATAAATCTACACATTAAAAGGGGGAGAGAAAGGGAACCTATAAATATATACATTCTAAACTTCAAGAAATATGCAAAATACAGCATTGAATTACTTTTTAAAAAAATGTCAATTGGCAAAAGAGACAAGGAAAAAAATCATCATAATTTCGGGGTCCTAACTTGCTAGAATTCATTAAGTTCCCATCTACATTCTTGTTACTCTTTCCTGAGCATATATTTACTCTGAAGGGGAAAAAAAACCATTAGGCTGTCAAAGTAAAAATCCTGCTTTGGAAAAAAACATATGTTCAGTGTTGTTATTAAATAAGGACACATCAATTCAGAAATATATTAATAGTTTTTACCTTTCTTCAGTTC